GCCGACAGAGGCCACGCAGCCTCTTGAACGAATCAAAGTCACCCGCACACGTCTCATCATGAGTGCAACTGAAGCATTGTCAAACGCTCTACCATTCGTGATGGTGCCAGCATCGGAAAAGGGGAACGACAAACGGCGCCTTTCTACGGCAGCGCTGCAAGCTCAGATCTTCTCAGATCATTCCCACGTGGCCAGCATACTTTACGCGATATTGGCCTATTCAAGTATACCCAGCCACGACCATCTTGCAATATCAAGTTCAAAGCGCTTGATTGGACACGCAAATTATGTTTTGTAAGCGAATACCTTCGCCTACTGTGACCATCTTGACAACGGATCTCGTGCGTGACCGAGTTACACACGACAGCTTGCACCAGTTGCGATGCAGCACCACTTTGCATTTCGCTCGAGAGTACGCATGCTCGCAGCATCCAAGCTCATCTCGACCCTTGTCGCCGGCCTTACGGCCTCGGTGCTGGCGTCGCCCCAGCCGTTCCAGATTGGGTATCCCGTCCCGCTGAGCCTTCGCGGGGACCACAGCGGCCCCTTCAACCACACCATCCATCGCGATGGTGCGAGCTACCTCTCGGTGCATTTCACGTCGATCGCGTTGCCCGATGCAGCGACGCTGTCGCTGGCGTGCGCCGATGGCGCCAAGCAAGTGTCGTTCACGGGCGCCCGGTCCGAGTTTTACACCGAGTCGTTTCCGTGCAACAGCGTCGACGTCATCTACTCTGCGCCGACATACGACAGCAGCAACCACGCGCCGGTGTTTGAAGTCGACCAGGTGATCCACGGCAGCGCGCAGTCGAACGGGATGCTCGAGACCATCTGCAGCATCTCGGACGAGTCCCGCCCGAGCGTGTGTTCGCAGGCGACCGAGCCCGCCAAGCTCGCCGCAAGCCGCGCGGTCGCCCGCCTCCTCATCAACGGCCGTGTTACGTGCACGGGCTGGCTCTTTGGCTCAGAAGGGCACATGCTCACCAACAGTCACTGTATCAACTCCGAGTCCCGTGCCGCCAACACCCAAGTCGAGTTTGACGCGCGTTGCAGCACGTGCAAGGACCCGCAGAACAAGGTCGTCTCTGGCTGCCGCGGTACGATCGCGGCCGTTGGCGTCAAGCTCGTCATCTGGGACGAGCTCAACGATTTTGCGCTCGTCAAGCTCGATAAGCTCAAGCCCGGTGTCGACCTCTCGACGTACGGGTACCTTCGGGCGCGCGAGTCGGGGCCTGTTCTCGGTGAGCCCATCTGGTCGGCACACCACGAAGCTGGCTGGGCGCAGCGGCTCTCGCTGACGTACGACGGCGAGGTGCCCAAAATTGCGGACCTGGATAAGGCCAGCTGCATGGACAACTTTCCGAACGCGCGGGACACCGTCGGCCACTTCCTTGATACGCTCGGCGGTTCTTCTGGCGCGCCCATCATGAGTACTGCGGACAACGTTGTAGTCGCGCTGCACAACTGCGGCCTCTGCGACTCGGTCGGCAACTCGAACGGTGCCATCAAAATCAGCAACGTCGTCCAGTTCCTCAAGGCCAAGAACCTTCTGCCGAAAGACTCTACGGTGCCTGGCACAACGGTGGCACCCGTGACACCGGCACCGACGCCGGCGCCCACGACAGCCCCGACGGTCGCTCCGACAACGGCGCCGCAACCGACGAATGCCTCCACTCCTGCGCCGACTCCTGAACCGACTACTCTGCCCATTGTCACGCCTACACCGGCGCCCTCAACCATCGCACCCACTGTGGCTCCGACGGCTGGCCCGACGCTCGCTCCGACGCTCGCTCCGACGCCCGCCCCCACGCCCGCCCCCACGCCCGCTCCGACGTCCGCCCCAACGACCGCCCCGACGTCTGCCCCTTCTGCCAACTACCTTCGCCT